AGAATATCACAGTCAATAAGCCTGCAAGGGGGTGCACTAAAAAGGGGTCAAAGTCACACTTTAAGACGCGACACGGTTCAAAAGAACTGGGCTGCGCCCGTTGCAGGACCGGACACCTCGGTCTGGGAGGTACGGCTCGATTCCGCAGAGCGGTGCTCCACTCTGGGCCGAATCCTTGGGCTTCCTCCGTCGGATGGAGACGGAGGACCAGTCGGGGGGCGCTTTGTGCCAGCGTGCCCAATCCTGGGTGGTGGAGGGGGAGGACCCATGGATGGGGCCCTGCCAGACGTCTGAGGACCAGCGGGAGGCTCAACTGGTTTTCTGGGCGATGGAGCACCGCTGCGAGGGATGGACTCCTTACCCGCCCCAGACGTACGGTTCGCCGCCTTTGCCCGTTCTTGTTCAGCCAGGCGCGCCCCCTTGGCATCGCGGGCGCGCCTGTCCGCCTCGTGCCGCTCCAACGTTTCTATCGCCAGCCCACATGTGTTCGCTGATGGAGTCGGAGGTGACGAAGGCAGCGGAGCACACGAAGTGGAGGCGGACGAAGGTGGCGAGGAAACCGATGTGGAGGCCGGTGGAGCCCGCGGGCCACGGCCACGCCGGACCACCGTCCAGCCCTCCTCTCCGGCAGGAGACGGCGGTGACGTGGGAGTCGGCAACGCGGAGGGTGCCGACCGGCCAGGGGGCGAAGAGATTGCCAGCACGGTCTCCTTCGACCGCTCCAGCGAGGGAGGGGGAGCCAGGGCTGCCAGATTTGAGTCCAGCGCCTGGTTCGTCGACACAACCGAGAGACCAAACGACTTCAAGAGCGCTACAAACTGAGCAGCGGTCATTTGATCAGTGAAGGTCGGACGTGCGTTGGAGGTCTTAGCTTTTTCGGCGTACGATGTTCTTGGGTGGCTCTCCTCGTACAATGTTCTGGCCTCGCGAAAAGAGATGTTGCGTGTGGTTTTAATGGATATAATTTCTTTTTCCTTCACGTAAGCTGGACACGTGCGGTCGTAAGTCGCGTGCGGAGCCTGGTCCTTGTCACAATTCACACAATGCACTCTCTCTGAGTCGCAAAGTTCCATTGCGTGTTCGGAGGAAGCGCATTTCCCACAGGCAGGCTTGTTGCGACAGTACTGTTTGGTATGACCAAATCGCTGGCAGTTGAAACATCGCATGGGGTTCGGAATGAAGAGGCGCACCTTGACACGTGCGTATCCCACACGTATCTCGGACGGCAAGTCAGGGCGACTGAACGTGAGTATGAGGTTGTTGGTGGGCACCAACCCTCCTCCCCTTCTGACGAGGATCCGTCGAACGGCGGTCACTCCAAACTCCGAGAGCTCCTCCACGATCTCTTCCTCGTCAACGTCACGTAGATCAAAACAGTTCACCACGCCCTGGACGAATTTTTGGTGTTGTGTGGTGTCGCTGTCATTGACACTGTTTTTTTCCAATTTACCGGCCCCATCCCGAACACTGTACGAAAATTCAGTTGCTTGCATAGCCCGATTCGCCTCCTGATCACTAGCAAATTCAACTTCTATTTTTCCATCCCGGAGCTTGTCACATCTTATAATTTTTCCAAATTTGTCGCAGCCATTTCTTCTCTGGAACGGTGAGAGGGACGCCAACCTAACCTCTTCACTGTGGAAGACGAGGATCCGTGGTCCGGGGATAGCAGAGTCCTTTCTGCATCCTTGGGTTATCGTGGTCCGACCCCCTTTCGGAGGACGGGTGTTTTTTGAGGTAGAAGATGCCATGCAGAAAGGGTTTTTCTTTCGGCACCGGGGCTCCCCACCCACCTCGGAGCCCAACTGGGGGACGGCCCACTCACCAGTTGGTGGTGGTGCCGCCAGGGCTACCTCGGTGCTATACGGGGCGGACGACGCCTCCCGCACGGCCAGGTGTAACCGGGGAGACCCCTCCCCGTCCTGACCGTGGTTCAGCGCCGCCGCCCCTTGACCCCTTAAGCCGCTGCGCGCGGCCAGGCGCCCCAAGCGGAGACCCGCAAGGAGCACCTAACCGCAACGCGAGCGACAAGCCGCTAGACCCGTGTGGGGCCCCACGGGCCCCCCACGCCCCCGGATATTCTGGCCAAAGTGGAGTGTTGGGACGCGCCGTGGCTGACCCGCACGACGCGCCCCTCAGCCACCAGGATCCGATCAACCCGGGGACGTGGGCGAGGGGGCACGGCGACCCCGATAAAACGAGGATGAGGAGTGGTGATAGGGCCGGATGCGGGAGTGCGGGTAAAGTGGAAGGAGCGGGCAGGACAAGGAGCAGGAGCTCACGTACCGCCAGGGTCGCTACGCCCTGAGAGGAACAGCTTGCGCTGTCCACCCGTTACCGGAGCTGGGACCCGAGGGGGCGCTAGTCCCCTACACCGACCGAAGCCGGTGCCCCTGCGGGGTGCCTTACTACTTTAACGCAAGCATGGACTACATTGGACTACAGCATGGTCACGCGCTCAGCAGAATAGTTCTCTCAGTGTGCAATAAAACAAACACTACCTGGCCAAACGTATTTCACAGATTTCGCATTTCAATAGGGGCCCGCCAGGCCTGTGTGGCGGCGCCGGCGGCCTGTGGTCCGGGCCTGTGTGGCGGCGTCGGCGGCCTGCGGTCCGGGCCCGCGTGGCGGCGCCGGCGGCCTGTAGTCCGGGCCTGTGTGGCGGCGCCGGCCGCCTGTGGTCCGGGCCGCGCCCCGGCCGACCGCACCCGGCATCCGGCTGTGAAGTAGCCTTCAGCGGCGCGTGGGGGCTGTGAGCGAGCGCCTGCTGGCGACCGCGGATTGGCACCAGCGTTGAGAGGCGGCTGGAGTGGTGCAGGCGTCACAGCTGAGGCGCCGCCCCGTCTGCTCCGTCCCCGGCGCGCCGACAGGCCAGTGGTGTCCGTGACGATGGAAATGGGATTTTATTAGCAAGTCCAACACCGATATTTGGCCTGCTACAATGATGCCTCATTCTAGGCTTTGTTTGCGTGTGTTTGGTGCTGGTATTATGGCGTTCGTCGCGATTCCTTTTGTAGAAAGGGGAATGGAAGAATCGCTGAAGGCTGCGGAAATAGTGAGTAACAACGTTCAGCCAGACGAATGCACTGAAACAACAGATGGATAGTTGCTCCAAAGGCAACATCAATATTACATCCTCATATATTATTTCACTTCACCCAGACGAAGGATTTCGTCCTAGGACGGACGGGCGCGAGCAGCTCGTGTCGTATCGAGGGCGGCAGTGAGAGCCACGCCCCCCCCCCCCCCGCCCGGGGGCGGCAGGGAGAGCCACGCTATCCCCGGCCGAGGACGGCAGAGAGAGCCATGCCACCCGGTGGGACGGCGGGGAGAGCCGTGCCACCCCCGGCCGAGGGCAGCAGGGAGAGCCATGCCAACCCCCGCCGAAGGCGGCAGGGAGAGCCATGCCACCCCCGGCCAAGGGCAGCAGGGGAGCCATGCCACCCGGTGGGACGGCAGGGAGAGCCGTGCCACCCCCGGCCGAGGGCAGCAGGGAGAGCCATGTCAACCCCCGCCGAAGGCGGCAGGGAGAGCCATGCCACCCCCGGCCGAGGGCAGCAGGGAGAGCCATGCCAACCCCCGCCGAAGGCGGCAGGGAGAGCCATGCCACCCCCGGCCGAGGACGGCAGGGAGAGCCACGCTACCCCGCGGGGGCGTGTCTCTATAACGGGCACCACACCCCAGCCGGACAGAGCAGCAGCGGGTAATGGTGCGGGCTCGCGCACCAGCCCGTTTAATTTGTTCCGGAAGATGATCCGTGATGATGAATGCCGCGGTCTGGTACACAAACGGGCGGCTGTTTGTTCGCAACGCTTACGACGTATCAGCACGAATAAATCACCGGCCGACACCAGTACGCGCGTCGCACGAGGGATAAGCGTGTTTATGCCAAGGCACCATTGTCAACCGTGGGGCATATAAACCCGCTCCCACCGAAGTTGGCTGGCAACACTGGGACTTCACGGTGCACCATGTGGCTTGTGGCAGTGTGACAAACGCGACTTTCCCAAATCAGGCAAGGTCGCGTGCCATCTCGACCGATTTAGAATCATTTGAAGAGTTATTCGATCTAGCAAGGAAATTCCTCCCACCATGGCGGGGCGAACCCAAAATGGCCATTTCCACGAGCCCAAGTGAACCCGAAACTAAGAGGACGGGCTCGACCTGCTCCGTATTCAAACTTCAGGCAACTGATGCAAAGTCGTGATGGCGGAACGGACGGATGGGGGAGGGGGGGGGGGGGGGCAGCCTACCGGCGTACGGCAACTCATATCCACGGAACGGGCGCCATGGCGTCGGGCGACTTCGCCCGCCACGCCTGGTTGTCCAGCTCGGCACATCCACAGCAGGGGACGCAGCCATTCGATGGACGCGGAGAACCCTGGGCATGCCGCAATGGCGCAGCCCATGCCACTGTTTCACATAGTTTCCATCACTCAGATGACCGTACACAGACGCGTGTACAAACGCACGAGCATGCCGCCGTGTGACCACGCACACAAACACGACAGGCTGACCCAGACGGAGGTGGTGTCCGCGCAGATAATAATCAAATTAATTAATCAATTTTTATTAATAAGTTGTATTTTCTATTTTATTATTTTATTAATTTTAGGTGAATTTTAAATCAACTACTTTTAATTAATTCTAATCAGTTTGATGATAGTCTGGAGATTGTTCGGCCATGCATGAACGGTTACGCCCACAGCCAGGAACCAGCCGTTTTCTTACCATGGGGCAGGTCTCCCAAAATATTGGCAACAGGCTCGCGATGCTCAACAGACCCCCTTTTTGCTAAATGAGTGTAAAAACAAGCTAACCAAGCGGCGTAAATGACAAGCAAACAGTTTTAGAATAACCCCTCACCGCTGGCCATTGATACGGGAGCTGAGACGGTACAAAACAACCAAAACAAAACACAACAACGCCCAATCTGGGACAGGACCTCGCCACTCGGCCGGCGGCGACGCTGCCGGCGCCGCTCGCGCCGCCGTACTCACATCTGACCGAGCTCGACGTTGAGGTGGCCGGCGGCCTGCTTCACGAACGCGGTGTAGGCGTCGAGCACGGCCGTGTCGTGCGTGCGCAGCTCCAGCTCGATCAGCGAGTAGAGCCGGTCGGGCGCCTGGTGCCGGGTCGGGTCGGCCGGCGGCGGCTCCGAGTGCAGGCCCCTGGCGGCCGGCCGCTGCGGGCGAGGGGGCGGACGCCGTCAGGGACTACGCACCGCCCCGATCCCATCTTCCCGCAACTCTAACTGGGCGTGCTGATGGTGTGGCAGAGCGGAACGCTCCATAACAATTCGGCGGAGTGTGAAACATGCTAAGCAGGAAAGCGGGCTCACGTAACAACGCTGGTAACCAGCCACAGCTTGAGGTTCAGTTGGTGCGCCCGGGTGCATGGCGCCGTGTCTACCCGGTACACCCTGTTTCTTATCTGCGCAGTAGTAAACACCTATGGAAGAAACACGGAAATTCATAATAAAATGGTCTTGGCGCATGCAAGAACTGATATTTGTAGAAAAAAAACATACTTCAGCATGATGGTGTTTCAACATCACTGATTTCCAACTGACAATGTCGCAAAGTACACACCACCCACAACAGCTGAGAACATATACCGGGCAGCCCACATATTCTGGGCCCACCACGATAACACAGACATAACCGTGAATCATCGGTAGGTGTTTTGTTGAGATTTCCAATTTGATGGTGTCATTCCTCGGTATGTAAAAATGGCGCATGCCAAGTTTAACCACCCTTAACACTGGTTCCAGCAACAACTTCCAGCCTCCAAATATTTCGCCCGCCTCGCAGTGGGGCGCGCAGGAGTCTGGCACCACTCGCAATGCAGCCCCGGCGGTGGTAGATGTCACTATTGCCTGCTGTCCGTCGCCAGGCCGCGGTTCTGGCGCCCGGAACGTGGCGTCCCGCTGCCGACGCTACCGCCAGGAACGGGCTGGGCCACGCCGGAACAAGGCCGGGCGAATCATGAGTAAGTATGCGCCAAAGGAACCCGGCAGCGAATGGGAGCTCTCCAATAACAGCTTACGTCCTGGGTAAAACGGAGGTACCGGATGGCCGGTCGGAGCCCACCTACGGCGCAGATGCGCCAGTGACGGCCATCCTGGCCCGCCACTGCCTGACGTCACGTTCTGCTTGTGGTGACAGAGTGACTTCTATCCAACCGAGTGACTTCTATGACAACTATCCAGCTGCGATTTGGTGCATACAACATAGTTAGAGCCATCCAGACAGGGAGCGCCGAGCGGGTTTCCAACAATTCAACTTTTCTCGCTATTTTTTCCTTGATACATAAGCATCGCGGGGCTCCTGCTACCTCTCATGGCCAGCCACGCGTTGCCACTTGTTCGGTGTTCCCTGCTCACTGACTGAAATCCGTCACCGATTGTGGCGGCAGCCAAGTTTCAAACACAATTTCGCAGACCGCCTGCTCCAGAGTTAGATGAATGGCTGGCCACTCTCCGCGGCCTCCAGGGACGGTGACAGCTCCACTGCAGCCTCCAGAAAGCGCTGCTGCAGTCACTCTACGCTCTGTCCCATCTCTTCTTTCTGGAACGTTGCCATGGCGACTTGCCTCCAGGCGATCGACGGCGTCACGTGAACTTGCCGACGCGTTCTTTTGGTTTGAAGTAAAGCAGTCGCTTCCGTGTTGTCTTATCATTTTTCGCGCATCTGCAGTCTTCTGCATTGGTAAACGTTCACCTCGGTTTGTCCAGAATTTAATTGGGCTATGTTGTCTCCATGAACGATATCCTCACCTTATTGGAGCTGGACCGCATCCCCCTGGATTTGACATGCCTTTCTAACCAATTGTTTATCAAGGGGTATAACTACAAGTGTCCTTTCATTCAACCCGATCCGTTCGACTGGGGACACCCACAGCTTCAATCACATCCTCCGCTGTTGTTTTCGTACGGTCTAAACCAACGTCGATAACCGTTTCCCGGATATGATTGACACTAGTAAGAAAGGCGCTGACCAGCAAATTACATCTGCCGCTCCAGCAGAAAAGTTTCGATAATACTCAAAGTTTCGCGGGAATATGCCACTTAAAATAATTGCTTTGGTTTGGGAAAAGAACCTTTTCGGCTAGTGCTCGCCATTTCAGGGCTACGGGATAAATTCCAGACGTGAGCGGCGAGGTAACACCGCGGCCATCTGAGAGCCCTCCACTTTTCACGGTCTCGCATTTAGTATGTAAAGCCGATGAAATCGCGCTTTGCTTTTTCACGGAAAAGGTGTCATCGAAAACCCATCATCACTATCATATACTTTTACGTTCTCCGCAAAAAAACCTCTCCAGGGCAAGCATCAGAAGCACGCGGAATTACAATGACATCTGTAAAAATTGAAGGTATATGGTACAAAATACAAAGAACAAAATACATCGGCGATAAAAAATGTTTCGACTCGAAACGGTCATTACATTTACGCCTAGCGCTCCGATGCCCACCCCTCCCTCATCCGCGTACGAAATCCCGACACAGCGCCAGCTTCTGGCACTTTGACCGACGCTTCGCTCCAACCGACAGTGGCACGGAATCTGGACGCTCGCCGGACGCGCTCGGAGCGGACACGGCAGATGTGCCGCACTCCTGCCACTAAGCCTCAGGCTTCTCTGGCGAAACGTTCTCACGGTAACACAACGGGTCTTTCAGAAAGTGGTGCATGCATGTTATGCAGAAGACGGTGTACCACGGCAACACACGGCAACATGGTTGAGTACTCGGGGCTATTTTAGTTCATACCAGATTGACGTTAAACGCCCTTGATGATGGCAGGATCTGACCTTCCAGACGCCGTGCTGGCTATTTTCTGGGCGCGTTTAAGCTGCGTTGGGCTCCAATCTGCCCAGACAGTTGCACAACAAAGAATGCGTGGGAGCACCAATGCTTCCACGAGCACGTGCTGCACTTCATCTGGTAGCCGACGCAAAAATCTTGACAGGCAGGACAACGTGGCGAAGCAACGCTTCACTACAACAAACACATGCATTTCGAAAGTAAGATTCCTGCCCAGAACGACTCTCAAATTTTGTGCACAGCAAACAAACACAGCATAGCGTTAACAAACCCACTTCAAAATGAAACAAAACTGAATCGGTAGCGAAGACATGAGAACAAGGTTACGTTCTGCGGGGTTGATTTTCGGAGTATTCTGCACATTTCATGGCAGCGCTTTGCTCCGCTTGTACCGCCTGTTTCAGCCATCGTTGTTAATTGGAGTGACCGCAGTGGATAGCTCACATGCAGCCAGCGCATGAGACAGTCTTGGTGTAACATAAAACCGTCGTTACGTCACTGGTAATAAGTAAAGAGCACAGGCCCTCAAGCTGAGCCCGGCCCCGACCGTCAGTGAGCGGGATGGCAGCGGCGTTACCGCGGACCCTCCGACGGCATTTGCTCAGCCCGTCCCTGGACCAATGTCCGCACACGCCACACCAGCTCAGCGCGTCCAGCAGGCGGTCACGCTGCACGCTGTCGAAGGCCTTGTCTGTGGCAGCTGTCACGAGGCCATCGATCAGCCCTCGCTACACGTTGTTGGTGAGGCAAGTGAGTGGCCAACACCGCCAGCCTCGTGGATCACCCTTGCCGAAATTCGTGCTGCTGTTCACATCGGATCCAGTGGGGACACCTAGCGCCCCGCCAGCTGGGCATACACCAGACTTTCAACGCGCTCCATCACGGTAGGGAACATCGGCTTTGGCTCAAGTAGACCCAACAAGCCTATTGGGGCGGGGAAAAGGCCAAGCGAGCAATAGATATTATTATAGGTCACGGTGCTGCTATGTGCTTCTAGTGAATTATGGGACCTTTACAGCATGCATGCAATGGTCACGCCCTACTAAGCGTATTCACATTTCTAAGAAGGGAGGCAGCTACAGAAGATTGGAGTGAGGCCAATTATCGCCGTTGATCCCGCTGGTAGTTCGCTGTTGGTGGACACAGTCTCCGTGTACTGCAGTTCACCTTTAGTCGCTCCTGTACTCGTATCTGACATTTTTTATGCCATGTAATGTATGCAAGTCACGGAAAGAATGGAAAGTACCGTTTTAGGCTTTCATATGCTAGATGATATGAGCTCACTCACGAGGAACCTCTGGGAAAGATTGATTCATTTCCTTTCTCAAGCTGCATTAGTGCATATACATGTTCTAACTCATTGATCCATAGCACCGTAATGCTGACATAGGCTTGAGGCTATGTTCCCTAGCATTTCCTGTCCCAAAGCTGAAAACGCTCCTGCCACCGCACTTACATTTTTCTTGTAAATACTGACTGAGGCGCAAAGCATTGCATGTCGATACCGACAGGCATCCCTCATACAACCGCCTTGGCAGTCCATAATGCGCTTCAAGCACAGTTTGACCCCTCCCCGTCCTCCCCCCCCCCCCTCAAGCCTTGCAATCACTTCTGTTATGTCACTTTTTTATTGCAAAATCCACACACATTTTGCAACTGTTTTATTCACCGGAACTATCTCTTGCTTCTGTCAACGCAGGACGGTGCGAGTTACCCCGAGAAGATCACCATATTGGCAGGATGGCCAAATTTCTCGAGATCCACTACAATACCGTGCCCCGGAACCGCCCCTGCGCATGCTGTGGATCCGGAGGGGGCACAAAACGGGCAGAAAAAGCCCACTCCGCCCCGAACAGGGTTCACACGTCCCACCCACCCACCATTAGTGAATCAAAGCCAGCCCGTGCTTCGACACCAAGAGCGCTACCGACCGACGGCTTTGACGTCACGCCGTCCGGCGACGCGCAAACCATGACCTCCCTATGACCCCTTTCTTCGCAAACTAATTTCCTGTGCGAATAAAAAAACCCTAATTTCCTGCTGCGCCTCCCATGCTTTTTTCCTGCATGGCAACCGTACTCATATTGCAACTGTCTTATTGATCGGCACCAGGTAATGCTGCGAATGCAAGACATTGCGTGTAACCCTGCGGATATTCCATTCCGGCATGATCGCAACATTTCGCTGGCGGTCCCACCCAAAACCAGGGCTGAAGTCGGCTCTGTGCATGACACAAGTCCAGGGTTTGGGATAATACGTTACAAAGGTACTGCAGGAAAGTGCGACGATTTCAACGACCCACCCCAGTCGTGTCAGGGAAACCAGTGAAAAGACCCGATAACAGCTCAATCTACCACCCCATTGCCCGCGGTTGATACATTACATACCATGCACCATAGGGCTGATGGTCGGCATATTCCATCGGCCATAAGAAACGAACCCGGTCCGCGCGAGCACACCGCGAACGTTCGCGCGCAGCGGCTTTGATGTCGCGCCGCCAGGCGACGCACGCGCAAAAATAGCCCTATTGTTCTTCTCTTTGCGGGCTAGCTTCGTGTGCGGTGGCACGCACGGTGGTCCGGATTTAAAAGGACGGGCCTGACGTCGAAAGGTGCTTTAACGAGGAATGGTTGGTGGCCACAGCATTTTTATGCGCGTGCTGGGCACAGTAATTTCGCTATCAAAAGGGAACAGCTTTTGGACAACCCACCCTAATGGACATTACCTGAAGGTAGCTGGTTGCCTGGAGATGACGAATAGATGATGGAATGATGCACCTCTGGCAATGGAGACCCTGTGGACAAAAATGCGCTATGATACCCGCAAACGCAGCGTGCAAATTTCATGGACACAGCTGTATTAAGGTCAGCATCCCTCCTATATTTTAAACACTATTCAGCAATTCTGACTTTCAGTTTGGTTAGTTCACTTGAGACTACAAAGTGTCCGCCCATGTAGTTCTAGGTATGTTTCAAATTACTCCCGTTCATTCACCTCCACCGTTATTGTATGACTCGTCTCTACCCTCAACTATAAGCGCGGCATAGATCAAGTAACCACGGGTGTAACATCGAGAATTCCCTCCCATCATCCAACATCGCAAGATATGGTGGTCGCCTTCCTCAGAAATGCCCCTTCGTTACGGAGACAAAAATGTATCATTGCCAAATTTCAAGGTGTCCGGACTAAAATACCGCGGCCAAAACCTGAATGGAGGAGTCTAACGAAAAAGTGAAATAGCAAATAGCCGACATGGATAAAACCCAACAGAGGAAAATGTCAAATCCGAAAACTGAAGGACAAATGGTGAAAAGGGACAAAAGTCAACAGAGATTAAAGTCGAAGGAAAAATCAAAAACGGGAAAGTTAACAGGGACCAAAACCGAACAAGTAAGAAGGTGGAAGGGCAGAATGCCGAGGAAGATACCGGACAAACGCGGACAGGCATAAACGTCTAACATTTTTCTTAACTAGCATTTTTCTTGGGAACCGCTAAAAGAACCATCAATAACCAGGGCCTAGATTGAAACTAAGCCAAGGGATCGAGCGAGAATGAAAACATGGCTTGAAAAATGCACAGGGATCAAACAGGACCCAAATCCAGCCTGGAATTTAGCTGAAAGATCCAACAAGGGTTAAAATTCAATTTAATACGCAGTCATAAATCCCGCAAGAGCCAAGATCAAGCCCCTAAAATGGCGCTGACGATCCAACAGAAACAAGATCAGGGATAATGTCACGGGAATCCTAGAGAACCAGACCTCACCTGAAACTGATGCCAGGAACCAGTGGGTATCCATGCAGTGCACATCTTATCCACGTTGTACTCGTACATATCATGGGTGAATATGCAATATATCTTTAGTTCAGGCAATTAGCCTTCATTACTAGAACTGCCAAAAAGCAACCTGAGATCATGTTCACTAATGAGAGGATGTGAGGCCAGAACTAGAATCTGGTGCTTTCTGAGTGAGCAAATGGAAACCAAAAATCTGAGTCTGGGATGTGTGAGAAACTGGTGGGAAGCATAAGCCAGGACTCGGTCTTTGTGAATGAGGCAGTGGGAATCTCAACCATGAGCTCATGTCCTCATGTTCACATTAGGCTGTCATAAACAGCTAATCACCATAAAATGTTAAGGACTCTTGCTGTAAGACTGCAACAGGCCTTCTGTACATAACCACCTACATCTGTCATTGCCTAAAACAATCAAGTTACCTTAAATTCAATAGGAAAATGGATGTGAATGGAAAATCATGAACCTTGATATTCATGGGAATATTGGAAAACTGGTTATTGATGTGCCAAGTAGAGTTGACAACAATTGATGTTTATGCTGCCCCATATTATTATACATCTGTCACTGCACAGCAAATGAAGCTTCATGAATAATGTTGCAGAGTACATATCAGACAGCTGCATCACCCATAACTGAGACCTATCAAATTGAGACCCAAGCAGAAACTGCCAACACCAAATGTAAAGCCCACAGTGCAACAAAGTAAATTTCATCATAAAAAGTGCATACCTCGGAGGTTCAATGACTTTTAGAAAAAAGCACAGTATATTCTACAAATAATACAGGCCGTAAAATACAGCACGCATATTCCAAAAGAAAACAGGAGGGAACTGAACTTAAGTCGCCATCCAAGTCACGAACCTGGGATGACGCAAGTATACTGCCATGTCTGGCCATCTTTTGCAGGCATTTAGTGCCAGCGACAAGGAGCCTTCGATTCATAATTATTATTATTTATTACGATTGTCACTTTCGCGAACTCCCGCCGATCTGGTGTCACTTATCGCCCCAGCCTCTTGCCGAACATTGGATGTCTACTGAACACGCAAAGTCGCACGACGACGGTGCATGTATGTAGCAAAAGCGGCAGAATCGTATACAGAGCGGCACGTCATTTGGAAGCCGCACTTGGTTGGTCTCATTTCTCCTATACTCCTCGCACCAGCTATCGGGACGCCGACCTGACCGAAATTAGTTCCGCGAAGCGAAGCTGATCTGCTTCAACCAGCCAGCCTTTAGATACTCCAACAGTGAAAACAATACCTGGTCTGATTTGACCGGGTCTTTTTGGCCACATTCGCTCATTTCCGAGACAAACGACTCATCAAATCAATCTCGCAACTGTTAGGATTAGTCTTAATGGGGCAGGCAACTGGCAGTCAACACCGGCCGCCGTGAGCTGTCACTACAACCGGGCAGGACCCCCTGTCATGGAAGCCGTGAGGTAGACACGTTCCGAACGGAACAGGTCTCCTCATCCGTTCCAACCAGGCAGTAGCAATCGAGAATACTTCCTAGAATGGATCTCTCCTTTGCCGCCCACGGCGCCTTTACTTTTCTGGATGTTTCCAACTGCACGTTTAACTTACACATAGTGACCGTTCTCCAGCTCATAACTGGTAGCACTCCGCTTGTGGCGCATTCGAAAATGCGCCGCCGCGCCATCCCACACTCCATATGCGTCATTACGAACCAGATATCTACCTACTTTTGTCACACACAGGGACAAATTACGGCGCGACTGTGTTGTTGGTGCTTTATTTATAGTCCTCAAAATGCGGCTGCATCATGTAGACAATGCCAGTGCTGTTTCACTTTTGGAGACTGCGGAGTTCAAAGTGACGTCCGAGTAGAGCTTCCAGCTTACTGCCCGGCATCGATCCGCGCAGTTCGCTCACCGTCTCGGCCACCGAAGCCTGGCTTCGATGACCCAAATGCGCAGAGACAGCGGAATAGACAGGTGATTATCACGGTGCCGCGAAGCATGCATTTGAGACACAGTCGCTAGCGGACGCGACAAGAGACCTGCGGGAAAACCTGGGGGTCGCGCGACCAATACATGATGCGACCGCAGTTTCGTGCAGCACCTCACCGACCGGTTTGGTAACTCAGTCCGTCCTACACCCATCCCCCACCCGCACGATTTTAACACACCAGGCACCTCGAAGAAAATCGAGCCTTGAGCTTGGAATGTGAACATAACCGACAACAAATAAATAGTAACACGCATCAAATGATCCGAACTCACCCCAATCAGTCCACGTAAACCTTTCAGTAACGGCATCCAACTAAAGAACCACACGTTCCACGGCCGGCGTCGCCCTAGGACCGGCCCCGCCTGCCCCACACCGCACCCCCGGTCAGCTGAGATTCGGACGGTAGAGCGGGACGTTCAGCCCCGGCAGCCCTGGCCGGCCGGGCGGCGGTGCGTCCGCGTGCCTCGGCACGATCGGGAGCGGGGCAAGCGGCGGCCCGGTTCGCCCGGGCGCCAGGCCGGGACCGGGGCCTCCGCCGCCGGCTAACCACCTATTTAGAGTTACCGCTACAGCTCCGAGTGGTCGTCCTCCGCATCTGGAATAAGGACGGCACGGCGTCAGCGCGAGATGTGAGGCGCCGGGCGATGGCGGAACACGACTCGGTGCGGGGGTGGAGCCGCGGCGTGCGCGGCCGGGCGCGCTGCGCGCTCACCCCAGCCGGGAGAACGGCACTCCGCCCGGAACACACTACGGATGGTGAGCATCCCTCAACAACAGACGGCTGCGAGAATCTCGACAAGGGCCTCCCGCTAACGCCAGCTCGGCCGGCCCCCAGCCAGGGTCAGCGCAGCGGCGCGGCACGTCGGACTCTGCCGCCCGCCACGCGACGCTAACGAGCGGGCCCCCAGATATACAAAAGCGGGCCACTAATTACGACGATCAATGTCGCTTACGACAACTGATACTCAAAGGGTATCTACTAAACGCCGCGGATCGCTGCTGAGACCATCGCTGTTTCGGCGACGAGTGCTCGAAACATACGCAAATCGTTCGGATCCACATCGTACCCGCGGTCGCAAGTGCGTCGTGCTTCATTGGTCGGACACGTCGGATAAAAAATCAAGGCCGGGCCGATTCCAAGATGTCCGTGCCTGTACGCCCGCCTGCTGACCTAACCCGACCCGGCGGCGACACCCCACAGCCTGGTCAGACCCGGCGACGACACCACACAGCCTGGTCAGACCCGGCGGCGACGCCACAAAACCAGGCCAGACCCGGCGGCGACACCACACAGCCTGGCCAGACCCGGCGGCGACGCTACACAGCCTGGCCAGACCCGACGGCGGTTACCACACAGCCCTGGCCAGACCCGGCGACGGTTACCACACAGCCTGGCCAGACCCGGCGGCGACACCACACAGCCTGGTCAAACCCGGCTGTAACACCACACCGCCCGACGCACTCGCTGCAGCCTGCGCCGGGCGCCGGCCGCACTTCCTATAGTAGTCCGCTCGGACCGTACCTTTCCTCTTGTCCGACTCAGGGTCGTTCTCTTCGGATGCGTCGCCGTCGGCGGCCGGCCCGGCGCCTGGCGCCTGCCCCTCGGGCACCGCCGTGGCGCCGTCCACCGGCGCCGGTGTGGCGCCCTCGGCGGGCGCCGGGGTGGCGCCTTCGAGGGGCGTCGGGGTGGCGCCCTCGGCGGGCGCGGGGGCGGCGCCTTCGGCCTGGTCGGATGCCTGGTCGGCTCCCTCCGTGTCGTTCGTGGCGCCCTCTGCTGATGGGGCGGCCGCGGCATGCGAGTTAGCCAGTCCCGCCCGGACGCGTCATAAGCACACGGCAACGGACGGACCGCACACGGAGAGGGACCGACTGCACAAGGCAACGGACGGACCGCACACGGAGAGGGACCGACTGCACACGGCAACGGACGGACCGCACACGGAGAGGGACCGACTGCACACGGCAACAGACGGACCGCACACGGGGAGGGACCGACTGCACACGGCAACGGACCGACTGCACGACGCAACGGACCGACAGCACATGTCAACCGGCTGAATGAGAACGATAAATGGGCGGACTGCAAACAGTTATAACAGCGGCGCTAGGGGTAAAACACGCCGCCCACAATGCTGACGGGTGAGGGAAATCATCAACTGATCCTTCGTGGCTACAATATGTTCTTCGCAAATGTGGAGTAACTTTGGCTATTAATCAACAAACACCACAGCCAAATCAGCAGATGGTTAAACATTAGAGTGCCAGAGTGGGGAGAAGCGATGCAAATGTAGTCTCCACGGCATGGGGTGAGGCCTCGGACCACTCGTCGGTGACTGGATTAGTCGCACTCCAGCGCCATCGCCTACCGCGACAATCACTCCACTGAGTCACTGACCGTCTTTCTTCGCCTTTTTGAGCTCCTCCTCCGCCTTGGCGGCTGCTTCCTTGATCTTGAGATCCGCCTCCTCCCGCATCTTCTTGGCCGTACCCACCTTGATCTTGGTCACCACGTACTGTAGGTGAAGCCAGGGAGCCACGCATTACGTGCACAGCCTTGGGGAACTTCGGCACTGTGTTGCATGAAAACTCCTGTTTATCCCGTGCATGCATACGGCATGGGGTGTCACTTTCCGAAGCTGATATCACGACAGCCCATCAGCACAATATTCACTACTTGAGAGGAACGGCGTGCACTCAGGTGATCCACCGACAAAAGACGGCCGTGTGCACGCGACTGATGTGGAAATGCGGTACGTAGCCGCCAACAACGGCACTCGATAACTCATGCACAATGAAACGCAGGGGGCAATTCACATGCAACACATCACGAACCTTTATTTCTTTGTCTAGGCTCAAATATTTATCGGCCATGGCCTTGATCTTTAGTTTTGGTGTCTGGGTCAGCGGCGTCTTATCCTGCTCCTTCGTTTTCGACTTCAGCCACTCCTGTAACGCAGCAAAAAAATCAAACCACGTGGCTCCACAGCACCACGGGGCGACACGAGCCTAGGAATGAGAGAGAGAAAGACATGCACACAAGGGGCCTGGCCAAACCCCGACCAGCGCGGCGCCGGAAAGGCAAAGGACTGCCAGGGGGAACGGACGGCAGCAGGGACGGAGGAGGCTGCTCGTCTCTCCGCAAAACCCCGGCCGCTCACATTTCTTACGGCACTGCAGGGCGAAACAGATCGAACCACACTCTGGCGTCCAGCCACGTCCGGAAAGGAATGACTGTATGGGACTCGGACGGCACTCGAGGTCACTCGCCTTGGAGGCGTTCAACATCTTCTTGAGCGCGGAGATGTCGGACTCGACGATGACGCCCTCCTTGACGCTGGTGTCGGCCGAGGTGAGGAAGTGGTTCGTGACGTTGAGGATGTCCTTCAGCGCCTGCACGGCCTCCGGCCGGCTCTTGTGCTCCTCGACGCGGTCAAACAGGGCCTGGGCGCCACGGACGCCGGTGAGCGGCGGTACCGACCTAGACAATCGTCACCGCTTCCAGATCGTTCCAAAGCGGCGCACCAGTACATTAGCCAGCACCTTGTTTTACTAATATACGCACAGAGCGCTGTGATCGTTGGCGCATGTCATGGGCTGGGTGTATGGAAGAAGAGTTCTGAATCAGTCAAATGGGGAGCATGCCCTGCCCAAGACTCTTGAGGTGGTCTCGAGGGTCACCAAGTTGCATGCATCAGGTAACAGCCTTGCGACAACTATGTTCAGTTATGTAGGGTCCATAGACGGACTCGTCACCTTGGTCAGCTTCTTCATCTCCTCCAGCTTTTCCTCGAACACGGCGGCCGTCTCGTGGAAGCCCTCCTCGTAAAGCCAGTCACTCATCTGCAAGCGGAATCTGGTCAGCCCCCGTCCCATGTCCGTGTCAAATGTACGCGTCGTACAGAGCTAAGAGCTGGCGGGCGCCGAAGCACACACAAGGACTGCGCAAGAGATCTAGAAACCTCCAACCGCACTCTGGGAGCAAAGCCCCTTCACCCCCTCCCCCCCCCCCTCCAGAGGACCTCGCTGCATCTGCAACCGCACAAACAATCCGCTCGGCCTACCTTCGCAAGCCCCCACACTCCGCCTCCCGCTCACTGACAACCTCGGCGACACGCCCCTCGCCACCCAGCGCGCTGCCGGCGCCCGTCAGGCCGGCCCTGCCCGCCTCCCGCCGCGGCTCAAGGACGACGCCGCATACCTCGCTAGCCTTCTGCCGGATGGTGTCGCGCTCCTCCTCGGTGGAGGCCGACTCGTACAGCTCCTCGTACAGCCGCATCTGGACGTCGTTGGTGAACGACTCGAGCGCGTTGCGGGCCTGCTCGCGCCGTTTCCGCTGCCGGTCCTGCTCGTCCAGGTCAGCGATCCTGCGGCGGCAGCGCGGCGCGTCAGACGGCGGCGCCGAAGCGCGTCAGACGGCGGCGCCGAGGCGCGTCAGACGGCGGCGCCGAGGCGCGTCAGACGGCGGCGCCGAGGCGCGTCAGCCGGCAGCGGCGTGGCACGTCAGACGGCGACGCCGCGACGCCTAGGGGATGTGACACGGCTCGTGACCGAGCGGCCGCGGGACGGGCCGACTGCGCTGCGACCGGCACGCAGCCGTCACTCGACATGCTCTCCCCAGAGTCGGCGTTCGGTTGCCGGCTAACACCCGCACCCTGCAGTGACGCGTGTTGCCACGCTGCTAGTATCAGCAGCAGCACACGAACACGCCGCGAATGGAGCGACTGAACACGAGCGCGTGGCAGGCGCGATGGGAGGGCACACCAGCCGAGGTCAATCATAAATGAAGAGCCGAGATGCAGGATGGTCGCGCCCAACCAGCCAGCATCGCCAACATAACACCCACTTAAGACGCACAAGATGGCCAAGAGAAAACGACAAAAAAGAGCAAATCACAATATCAAATGCCGTGAAGCACCTTACCAAATTGATGAAAAAAGGTGACTACGAAGGGATGTAACTGACAAGATATGACGACCTCAATAACCAAATAATGGTTATTTGGAAGTATATATAATATAACCAAATAACCAAATAACTGACAAGCTCAATAACCAAATAACGGCATCCGCCTATTAGCAATACTTACTTCTGTGCCGATTTCTCTAAAGCTTCTCCCTGTAGCTCGTGGACGTTCAGGTTCGTAATTTTGAACTTGATCGGCACTTTAACCACCCTTATCTTCGGCTTTTCGTCTTTCACTTCAGCCGTCTTGTTGACGTCCTTTTCAGCTGTCTTGTTCTTCGGGACTTCCTTCTTGGCATCCTCCTTTTTGGTGTCTGCCTTCTTCTCAGCCTGGTCCGTCGCTCCCTCAGTTTCCTCAACCTTGCCGTCCTTCTCGTCCTTACCCTCTGAAATTACAAATCAATCACTTTAGAGTGATCTTTGAAGCTTTCAGAACGTCGCGACCAAAGCACATCGCCGGAAGTACCACAGCTTTCAAGACTGCATCGTACGCAACACAACACCCACAGGCCACCCCGCCGACGCCACCCATCACCCGACGAGTCCTCCCGCCACCCGTCGAGCCCTCCCGCCACCCGCTGAGCCCTCCCACCACGTGCCGAGCCCTCCCACCGCCCGGTGAGCCCTCCTGCCACCCGTCGAGCCCTCCTGTCACCCGCCGAGCCCTGCCGCCACCCGCCGAGCCCTGCCGCCACCTGCCGAGCCCTCCCGCCACGTGCCGAGCCCTCCCGCCACGTGCCGAGCCCTCCCACCGCCCGGTGAGTCTTCCCGCCACCCGAGTCCCCCCGCCACCTGCCGAGCCCTGCCGCCACGTGCCGATCCCTGTCGCCAGTGGATGGTACGCACCGTCGCCGCTGAACAGGTTACTGAAGGCGCTGCTCAGCTTGGAGAGGGTCGACTCGTCCTCGTCGTCGGGCGCCGTCGACGTTTTCTCGAACACGGCCTCGACGCCGGTCAGGTTCAGCAAACCGCTGTCGCCCATGTGGAAGTGCACCTTGAGGCCCTTGGATTCGACGCCTTCGCCGGAGTGGTCGGCGTACACGTCCGCCACGCCGTCCAGCAGCACGTACGACAGGTTCAGGCCGTCCACCACCCTGCGGCAGCCGGGGTGGATGTGTCAGGACGCCGCCCGACGCCCGCCCGCACCGTCAATTAGTAGAAAGGCAGCAGGCAGTGTGCAGGTCTTGTTTGAGCTTCATAGGACTTCCCGACAACGTGGGCCGCAGCTGTCTGTCGCACACTCGAAATCCTGTCACGAATATCCTAAATCACCTAAGCATGCACATACCCTGGAAGAGAACAAAAGAAGGCAAATCTTAAGACTGAACACGGATAACTAACCAGGAAAAGACCCAAGAAAAGGACAGGCGGTCAGATCTGTATCACAGCACACGTGTAGTCGGCAGGGCTGGTGGCGCCTCCGTGCAGCTCGGCCGCCATCCGCTCTCAAATGATCTTTGTCGAGGGTCAGATCTGTATCACAGCACACGTGCAGCCGGCAGGGCTGGTGGCGCCTCCGCGCAACTCGGCCGCCATCCGCCCTCACTTGATCTCCTCCTCGGCCAGGTGGCCGAGGTCGCCGTAGTTAACGGTGAAGCCGAAGTCCTGCTGGCTGCGGTTGAACGTGATGACCTTCTTCTGCGGGTAGGGGTTGCCGTGGGTGAAGAGGTTGCGGTGCACCTTGCGGCGCGAGGCCTCGCCGTGCTCCTCCGCCTCCCGCTCGAAGTCCACCTGGCGGGGGCCGGAGTCAGGTCAGTCGGGCTATAGCACATCCAAAATCGCGCCCGGCAAGGCTGTCCCAGCCCGGCGCATTTCAGTCACAACCGGCGGGGGGCGGTATCTCAGGTACGATGGCGCCGTAGTCAGCGGCTGGTCACAACGTCCCGAACCCCGCGACCAGCGTCACATGCGAAACATGCTGATCAGAGGACACAGCGTGCGTACCACACGCTGGTGGATGGAACTTGCCCTAGGGTACCGGATCACAGATGCCATCCACCATACACTGGGACACCTGCAAATATTCCCCTGATCTCTCGGCAGACCCGTGTCGCTCGTCCTCCCGGTAGTATTACGCCAGACCTGTGTCGCTCGTCCTCCCGGCTGTACTCACGCCAGACCCGTGTCGCTCGTCCTCCCGGCTGTACTCACGCCAGACCTGTGTCGCTCGTCCTCCCGGCTGTACTCACGCCAGACCTGTGTCGCTCGTCCTCCAAGCTGTACTCACGCCGATCGGCAGCATGACGTAGTCCTTGACGTGGAACTTCATGACCTTGAAGCCGGTGCTAAGGTCGGCGGCGCGGTACACGGCGCCGAGGGCAGCCGCCTCGTCCGTGTTGATTGACTTGCCGAGCTCGCGGCCCCAGCGCGCCTGCAGCGCCTCCTGCACCCGGGGCACGCGCGTGGCCGCTCCCGCCAGGATCAGCTGACGGCCCAGAGCGGACGACGGTCAGAACGCCGGGTATAGCGCGCAGCAGGCAGCATACGATGGCGGCGGGGGAGGGGGGGGGGGGGGCATGCTCGAGGCTCTCGTGGCCACTGGCTCAAACTAGGCTACCCGCGAGAAGAGGGCCATCGGGTGGCCAGGGCGGCGGAGTGACACAAGGCTGCAAACGGAACAACCGCCACCGCATGTGCGTTATTTGGTCGTCAATGAGCGCAACAGGTTATAACAGTGTAGGGCAGCAAAATGCGCCTCTGTACGGTACAACCATGGAAGAATAGGGATTGAAGAGTTGGAGAACTGAGAATCTGACTTAGAGCCAGTGTATAATGTAATAGTGTACAAGAATCTAGAGCTAGAGTATAATATAACTCATGCTGTTTTTCTGTAGGCTTCTTACCAATTCTCCAAGCACACAAGAACGATCTGAAGTCCAAACTGTGAGAAGCTTTGACCCAAGTCGTTAGAAAGACCTAGTGCTGAGTACATGAATTCCCTTGCACAATGTCCAGGATCCCGGACATCTCAATCACCAATCCCGCTTGCGCCAACACTCCACATGCAATCCCCCAATTAAATTTTCAAAAGTTGCGCACCTCCAATCTCTCTGGCTCCGGATTCGAGCTAAACTGCCTGACTGGGGGATGTTGGCTGGTTGGCCTGGGTCAGTTGGACCCAGCGGTGTGCCAGTGGTGCCTCACCTGGTCCACCTGGCTCAGTTCCACGCCTGCAGACTTGACGGCCGTCTCCAGCGGCTCAGTGATGCGCGTGAAGAGGTCAGCGCAGAGCTCTTCAAACTCGGCCCGGCTGACGGCGTGGCGGAAGTCCTCCTCGTCCAGCAGGCCTTCCACCTGGCGCAGGGAAGCGCAGGCATGAGGCGACACAACAAAGCACGGAACACTGACCCACCAGGCGTGACGGAAGTCCTCCTCGTCCAGCAGGCCTTCCACCTGGCGCGGGGCGGCGCAGGCACGAGGTGACACCACACAGCACGGAACCGACCCCCCAAGCTGACACACAACAGCCGTACTCCCAATGCTGCGGGGCGTTAAGGGCAGCAGAGCCTGTGACCAAGCCGCGGCATACATCTGGCAGGGAGCAGTAGGGGCACCATGTGAGACAACCAGCGATCAGCCAAGACGACCGTTAACGGAGGCATGCTGCGCTCCTGCCTTGCCCGCACCCCCTCCTGACCCATCACCCCGCTGCGCCCCTGTCCTGCCCGCACCCCCTCCTGACCCATCGCCCCGCCGCGCCCCTGCCCCCGCACTACTGACCCATCGCCCCGCCGCGCCCCTGCCCTGTCCGCAATCCCTCCTGACACGTCACCCCGCCGCCTTCCTGCCCTGCCCGCACTCCCTCCTGACCCATCATCCCGCCGCGCCCCTGCCCCCCGCACTCCCTCCCGACCCATCACCCCGCCGCGCCCCTGCCCTGGCCGCACTCCCTCCCGACCCACCACCCCGCTGTGCTCCTGCCCTGCCCGCACTCCCTACTGCCCCATCACCCCGCTTTGGGCCGCACCTGAGCCGTCGTCTCGGCGTTGGCACTCAGGATCTTCTTGACGCGCTCCGCCTCCTTCAGCAGCTTGGCCATGGCGCGCGGACTGGCATACACATCCTCCTTGGTCTTCTTAGTGTTGGTGAACACCTTGGCCAGGTGTTGCTGCAGCCGCATAGTCATCTCGAGTCCGCCAAGGGTGCGGTCGTACCTGCGGGGGCGGGCGCTGGCCTGAGGCGCCGGCGGCGCGTCCACCGTACGGCGACGGCCCACCGCACGGCGACGGTCCACCGCGCGGCGACCGTCCACTGCGTAACGATGGCCCACCGTACGGCGGCGGTCCACCCCGGCCTCGTGTAACGCACACGTCCACGTGGCGAAAGAAACGACGTGCACAAAGTAGATTTAACCACTTTACATCTGATTTCTCAACACGATGACACCACGGGGCGAGGCAAAGTATTAACGGCACCCACTCAGCGTATCTCCCGGTCCGCCATCCACAACACATCCGCCTGATGTCCCAGGGCGTCCGCCTTGCTCGCCGGAACCGGCGGGGCATTGCTCACGCGTATCCCAGGATCTGCAGCTGCGGGTTGGTCTCCGAGATGCCGCGGTCCTTGGTCTTCACCAGCTGATAGCCGACCAGCGTGGCGGACGTGCTCTCCGCGCCCATGTCGTAGAACAGGATGTACTGGGCCGTGGCGTTGAAGTCGTTGCGTCGGAACATGCCGTAGTTGAGCGCCACTGCGGGGGAGGGGGGGTGTCGGGGTCATGAGGGCTGTTGGTCGCCGCCGACGGAGGCCCTGGAGCGCCAAGAAGCGCCACGCTGGGCGGCAGCGACGGTTCGGAGCGGCCGCCGCTGCACGGCAGTGCCGTTATCCAGACACCGCCAAGGGCAGTCCCGCTTAAACTCACCTCACCCGACACCCGAGCGGCACGGACTACCTCCCCCCCCCCGCGCCTCCGCCGCCCCTCGCGCACGTCCGTGTCGTCACTGCTAGGCAGCTTTACCATCAGCTCTTCCCTGCCGCCCTGCATCCCCCCCCCCTCCCCCACACCGTCCCCTTCCTTTCCTTGGAGGTACCGCCCGTGCGTGCACACGTACCTGCGGCGTTGTCATTCATCAGCTGGAGCACCTTGACGCCGGCCAGGCCCGCCGCCGTCAGCACGGCGCGCCGCTCCGCCTGGTTGAAGAAGGCCGGCACCGTGATGACGGCGTCCGTCACCGTCTGGTGCGTGTGCTCGGAGGCGGTCTGCCGCGCCTGCGTCAGGATCATCGACAGCAGCTCCTCCACCGAAAACGTGGTCTCGCTGCCGGCGAGGAGCAGTGTCAGACAGGAGGCGGCCCAGGGAGGGGGGGGGGGGGGGGCGGGATGTTCTGGAGGCTGGGCCATCAAACATTTTCTCCAGGAACGACGAGAAATGGGGGGAAGGGAGCAGGGGCTGCCCCACACTTTCTGAAAATTCACATTGACCCCATCGACGCTGACTCAGAGATAACTGAGCATGTCTCTCCCCTCTCCTCAGCTTGAGAGGATCCTTAATGCTCCTTTTGTCTAGCCTTACTTTGAGAAGGTGACCGTGGTTCGACGTAAACACCGACTGGGTTGCCCATGGTATCCAAGCAAGTTAGATAATCTTCAAATCACAAAACACTTATGGTCGACGGTTAGGCCTGCAAAAACAATGCATGGAGAGCATAACTCAAGGCTTGGGTACTTCAACCGCAAAGCTTCTTATTGGCAGCAGAACTGCTTCACCACCGACATTTTGGACAACTACCTGCCGGGGACGACGTCCTGAACTCAAGATACATTACTGCCAGCACACCAGCGACGGGATTTGGGATTTATTCATACTGCCGACAGGCCGTGGCGCAAGTTTGACGCTGCATGTCCAAACTAACACAGCACTGAAATAGCTGCCACTCAGCAGCGTCGGACGGCCGCCCCCTTCTCCAGCCCAGATCGGGACCTAACATCGATCGCCAGCGGCGACCAGCCGGGATAAAAATAGGGTTAAGGCGTTCAATCCGTCCACGAATCTGTCTGCGACGCCAACGATTACACGGCCCCTTTCATTCACCTGACGCCACATGCCCGGCTAGTCCATTTCCACGGCCAGCACAGCCTATGTCCGAGCCACGCCCTCCTCTGCCGGCCGAGCCCTCCACTGGCTCCATCCCTGCCGGCGGGAAGCGTCCTCTCCTCCCTAGCCCCCACTCACGCATCATGCCGGAAGAGGACGGTGCCGCGGCCCGCGTCCTCCTCCAGCTGGTAGTGCGGGAAGCATTCTCCCCTCTCATCCCCGACTCACGCGTCATGCCGGAAGAGGACGGTGCCGCGGCCTGCGTCCTTCTCCAGCTGGTAGTGCGGGAAGCGGGCGGCGAAGCGCTGCACGGCCGGGTTGGTCAGCAGCTTGCCGGCCAGCGGCAGCAGGTACTGGTAGCCCAGCGCCGGGAAGCGCACGGCCGTCGTCAGCGCGTCCTCGCCGAAGATGCGCTCGCCGTCGCGCAGCGCCACTGCCGCCGGCGTCTTGCGCTTCGACTCCCGGTTCAGCGCGATGTCCAGCGGCACGCCCGGCTAATGGCGGCCAGAGGACAGGCGGGTCAGTCAGGGCAGGCCGGGTCACGGGTGTGGCGCTCAGGCGTCAGCCGGGGTCACGGGTGTCGCACTCAGCCAGGGTCAGCTGGGTTAGGGGTGTGGCACTCAGCTGGGGTCAGCTAGGTCAGGGGTGTTGCGCCCAGGCGCGTCAGCTGGGGTCAGTTGGGGCCCGGGGTGGGGGGGCTCGGCGGGTCAGCCGGGGTCGGCCGGGTCAGGGGTGCGGCACTCGGTCGGGGTCAGGGGCGTGGAGCTCAGGTCAGCAGGGTGAGAAGGGGATGGGGAATGATGGCAGTTAGTGTAAAGGGGTCAAAAGCAGACCAGGAGTGAAGATAACTAACCATAGTTCAAATTTCTCTAACCTCAAAGGTTCAAAAACGTTCAGGGGCAAGCCTAATAAGGTAAAAAGAACTCAGGGGTGAGACCAGAACAATCAAAAGGGAACTGGGTGGGGAAGGAGGGGGGGGGGGGGGGGGGCGCATCAGACAGGTCAGTGAGTGAAGGCAAATGTTGTAAGGTAAATGGATGGTGGATGGGCCAGACCAAAATACCTCCCATGGACATGATCACTGAAGCAGAGGATATATACTAAGACCAATTTAAAAACATAAAATGCCCATGAGATCTCACTTTGCTGCAAATGGGCATGAGACATTCAGCAAACTGAACAGATGCATAAAGTCTCTAAAGCACAATATTGACACACTTAAATGCAAAGCCAAACTGGCTGACACACTCGCACCAAGAACTGATGATTATACCCGCACCCCTTCTGTCCTGCCCTCACCCACAAACAGTAAGCTACCATGCTTCTCCGGGTGCAGTACCTACCGACACGACGCCGACCTTGACCCACTCAGCGCCGAGGTCAATGGACATGACGGCCACTCCGCCGCAGACAGTGAGGGCGGCCAGGAGGCAGCCCGCCGCCAGCACAAGCCGCGTCCGCACCATCGCCTGTGGAGACGGCCAACTGTCGGGTCATGGAGTGACAAGGTCACACAACACACACACCCAGCAATGTCATGGTCAGAGGTGGTCAATGGCTACAGTAGTAATCTAGCCAAGTGGATGTCCTGCTTCAGCTGCATTGTGACGCCTAAAACACAATGTGCAGGAATCGGGAATTAAGTTGCATTTCATTGGCCAAGCATTGAAGATGCCAAGGACACCAGACTTGTTTGAAGCAAGCATGCCAGAATAATGGAGAAAATGATGACAATTTGGGTTTTAGGGTGTGCTGAATACATTGATCATAGTGGTACCCAAAGGGAGTGAATTATCACCCTGACATTCTCCCAGAAAACTGACTTTATGCAGATCCATGTCCTAATGTCACAGCTTTTGCTTGAAATGGCTCAAAACAAGTGCATTTTTTAACTTTAGCACAACTACACACATACTGATTGATAACTATTGCATCTCTGTTCTCTTTTAGCCAACTGGTGTCTTCAGTCTCAAGCAGGTACATGCCTAACCCAGTCATAAAATATCTGTGGAATCTGGGAGACACCTGGTGCAGCACACCACCTGGTGGACTACACATGTAGCAGTACTACATAGATCATTACTGCAAGAAGCTCCATCAGGTCCATACTGGGGCCGAATGGGCATGACCCACTTTGGAACAAGCACAAAACAAGTGTTAAGAAATAACTACATTTGTGGATGATACCAGCACCTGGCCTGAGACAGAATTATAATGTTATCACTGTGAGTACCTTAACTCCAAGCTATGGCCATTCTCATGGAATTATGTCTGTGACTTCCCTAGCATACTGATTCTTTAAGAGATGATTATCTTTGCAACACAAACAGCCATTTTACAGCTATTATTGTTGAAGAGATTAATTTATTTGCTTTATTTCATTAGCTCAGTTGTTGCCTGTGTAATATTCAGTTGCATGTTCATGCAATTTGCCATATTTGAACACTGACAGACATCACCACCAATTTCCTGCTATGTTGCCACAATAAAAGGGCACAGGCATGATTGTATGGTGATGATGATTTGAGGTTTTTGGGTGCATTGATTGCAGGCCATGCAGCACCCTATTCAGTTGGGGGGGGGGGGGGGGGCTGAAGCCCTCTCCCAACTATGGGAGACAACAACCTCAAACTTTAGGAAGACAGTGGGCAACATCCAGGAAAAAACTTGTTTGTTGGCATATTTTAGAGTAGGTTGGGTAATTTCACACTTTTTAGCCCCATCCTACCTCAACTCATTTTGTGAACCTTGAGAACCTATGCCTTTGCAAATCTATGCCCCTGGGTACAGGACTGGAATGCAGCATGGATCTGTACCACACAGCCAGGATTTGCTGTTGTTAATTAGGGTTTTTGGGCACACAGACTGCATAAGTCATATTGCACCCATAATGTTTTCATTTAGTTACCATGGTGAATATATAGAGCGAAATCTGATTTTTGCAAGGAATGAAAACAGCCGGCCATCTTCAAGAAGTTGTGAATGATTACCAAGAATATCACTTAGCATAAGGGAGGTAGAATTTTGCCCAAAGTAAAGCAAATGCTCCAGGGCGAAATGTGGACATTGCTTAAGTATATGGCGCACCATCAGAAAAACAGGGCAACAAGGGCATCGGGGGCCCTCACCACTGCACAACAAATGCGGTGGGTTTTGTATGTATGGCCCATATGTAGCCCACAAAGCACAGCTCCTTCTTGCCTTGAATCATGGAGGCTGAAAGGCCACAGGCCCAATTCAGGTCTTATATGTTTCAATTTGTTACTTGTGTCATTATTCCAACAGAGCTGCCACTTGTGTTGCAAGAAACAACCAGGATTAGTAGCTTATGAATGTTGTTCTGTCATCATTCCCTTGCAAAGCTATATCTTTCTAAAGCATTAAGTATACTCCCTGGATGAACCACAATCAGTTCTGGCTGCTGATCATACCTACAGGCTTTGCTATAGAAAGACAGAGGATTAAAGGCAGGTAGCCATATGGAAGGGAAATATGGACAATGCGGAATGTTAGCAAATCTGGGGACATGTATCACCTAATGACACCATTGGTGAAGGTGATGAAGACATATGGGTAGCCAGAAAAGCAGGTACTAAATAAAAAATAACTGAAGGAGTTCCTCATTGGACAGCACTCTGGTCTAATCTTAAATGCAACTAATGCAAAAAAGCTATGGATATGAGCCCTGGCTAATACTGGTATACATGATTAATGGAGTGCAGAGAAAAGGTAATGAGCTAATGCCTTATCCTTCATGCATTTTATTTAAGCCAATTTGCAAAACAAAACTAAAGCACCTTGGTGAATACCTACCTGAACATCCTAGTTATAGATAGGTGCCAGCTATATAAATATACATGCATGTACAAAAAGTTATACATTTATTATACATACTGTATATATATATGTATATATATATATATATATATATATATATATATATATGTACCTCCCTCTCCCTCTCCCTCTCCCTCTCCCTCTCCTTCCCCCTCCCCCTCCCCCTCCCCCCAGGCCAAGGTCCAGATGCTTTGGGGGCCAGGGGTCAGTCACATTCACACTCCTGTTAGATTCAATTCAAAGAAAGCCAGCATTAGTCAAATTTCAAGGTACATGTGCTGTGGGAGCCCAGGACAGACCAGACTAAAAAACTGCAAGGCTGAGCATATTGGGCATAGCAGCAATTTCACAGAAGCAATGCAGGGCACACTCACCATAAACATGACAACCATCATTTCAGCATACAGCCACCACAAAATCCAGTGTGATTCAGTACATTTTGCAAATAATTGGTCACAAAGATAATATTATTTAACTTTAACCATAACAGAGTTTTGGAGCATTCATAAATTTAATGGACTTAATTTCCACCAGTTTTTGCAGTCTGCCTTTAACCCACATGCACAATTGCATAGTTTATCAGAGCCCCATGATGAGGTACTTTCAATATAACCACATCACAGTTTGGGAGCACTCAAAAATTCACTTAGCATAATTGGCCTCAGTTTCTTTGCAGTCTACTTTTACTCCACATGCCAACCTACATAGTTTGTTAGAACTCCATGCTGTGGTACTATCTTAGTGAATGTAATGACTCAATGAATGTAATGTTGAGCAGCGATTGAATATGCTTGAACTACTCACTGTATTAAGACACAACTTTTCAAGCATCATACATGGCCAAACCGACGAAAAAGACCCATATTTAGTTGGCAGATGAACAACCCCAAAACGACAATGCCTGGACTCGTCGGCGCGTAAGGAAACAATATACGTTTCTTCAAATACCTCTTCCTAACACAAAGTTTGCTCACCTGCGGAATTATCAAAAGCCTTCGTTACAAAAGCCTCCGCACCTAAAGCTCAAACTGGGCTATCTGACGCCAGCCTGTAAACCGGCACCACCTATATTGGTCTGACACGTGTCCTTACGTCTGGCCGTCTGCGGTGCCTTCCAGAGGCCGCAGCTGCGCTGAAATAACGCCGCCAGCGCCGGTGGGAAATGCTGCAGCTAAATTGAAAACAAAGATACATAAAAGCATTAGCACGTACAGCACTCACCGTTCCGAGCGGCCAGGGTACTTTTTGTTTAAATGTTCCAATACTTTCAAAAATGTTTCCTGACAAACACAAGCTAATGAAGTTGTTTTAAGACAAGTGTCTCAACGACACTGAGAGCTCCACGAAAAACGATGAACAATCATAGTCGTTACGTAAAGTTAGCGCGATTCAACAGTTTACCTCTGAAAGGGTGCTACCTGAACGGACCCTTTGGCTACACCTGTACGGAAAAATTGGGGCGAAATACTAGCTTCATAGATGAAATAACCGTTCCGACTTTTTTCTCCGCCTGGTGTGTGGGCAAGACGCCAGTACAAACTATGTGGGCGTACTGCGAGTAACGCAAGGGGGAAGACCATAGTCCACACAATTACTCCGTCCGGATCCTGTTGATTTTACATGGTGTTTGATTGTACTGATATCTCAGTTGGTTAGAGCACTTGCCTTCTGATGACCCCCCCCCCCCCCCCACCGCACCCCTCTGTGACTCCGTTCGGCACGGACTGGGATGGCATTCGGGCGGCGGCAGCGGCGGCGCTGAGGTTATGTGGTTGCAGAACCTCCGAGGGCAGGACGGGCCGCGAACAAAGACATTATGGCAGTTAAGCTTTCACCGCAGAATTCTGTCATTGCACTAAAATATCAAGATGGAATGGTGGGGTCAGGGCCCAAGCCACACGCACTGCTAAGATCATCGTGGGTGCTGATTGTTATGAGGTGACTGACCCCGGAGTTCAAACCGATCAAAACCGTTTGCACCAAGTCTTTTAAAAAATATGGTAATCGTATGAACACAGTCCACATTATTCACACGTGATGGGATAATTGACATTGGACGCCCGAGGAGTCAGAAGACAGACTTTTATGGACCGGTTTATTGGTCGCCATAACTAGCATAAATATGCACCTTTAGTTGAAGAAACGCTTTTCGAGTTTTTCCTATATCAGTCGCGGAAAACGCCTACCCAGGCACTATTTGTCTGCTGATTGAAAAAGCTCGTTTTCGGTGGTCCCGCCCGAGCTCGGTTTTATACGTCCGCCTCATCCGGCCTTTCTGCACGGCACGCAGGTGGCAGGTAGAGTACCACCACCGTTACTGTGCAGTGTGCACACAGAGGTATAGGAAAACAAGCGTACCTAAGCATAACAATTCCAGGAAGGTGGAAAGCGTGGGACGAATAGCTGGCATTCCTTTGTTATTTGTTTAAGCAGAACCATGCTTAGCTATGACCATCGAGAAGGAAGAGTTAAAATTAGCTGTAACTCTAGAGGGAAGGTTTGTTCAAGAATAGTTTAATGCTGCCTAAGAAGCCTGACAGTTGTTTATCATGCGTGGTGAACATTTGCGATGTTTGCTTACCTTCATATCGTCGAGGATCAACACTCCAGACAAGTCTTGACCTTTAGCGTTTTGAGCTGGACTTCGGGCTTTGAATACTGCACGCATGAACCGCGGTCCGAGCTGGCCCGAGCCCTGCTAACATGTCACGGTTCATGGTTCGCAAAGTTGCAACAGATAGCGTCGATATGGGGCCAGATTCAACAGGTCATAAGCCGCTGGTGCCGCCAATGCTTCTGAGCACGCGGTGCGACGCAGCTGATCAGCACGGGTCGGGGCAGCAGCACAGCGACGCGGTGCACCCGGGTAGTCGGTGAGCAATGGATGGGGAAATATTTTGAGTGATTTTAGCCATAGCTCATGCATGGAGCTAGGCTGGAACATCGCCGACATGATGCCACTGATTGATTTGTGCAGCTCCTCGGCCGAATTTAAAATCCTGCCGCATTGTCGCTCATTCAGTGGGCATCAAAGCACCGTTGTTTACCCGTGTTGCCGGGAAGTGATGGTGTCGGCGGAGTTCTAAAGAACTAGGTCCAAGTCCGGACTCAGCCGGCTATTCGAGCAGAACGGACCTCTCGCTGTGTGGTGTGTCCTGACGTAGAATAAGGGTGAAGACGAAGAGAGAAACGCATGCTCAATTACTGGGCCCCAGAAATGCTAACTGAATGCTTTCAAGATGCCGTTTCATGAACATAGCTGCATCGCCCAAACGGGGAGAAAATTTGTTGCATGATGACAATTAGATGATTTTACGGGTTTCGTAAATTTGTGTACTCAACTAAGAAACAGATAAAATAGTTTGTGTTTGGAGTAAATTTAAGGAAAATGACAGACTTGCGTACGGGTATAAATAACACGTTTGCAAAATCGAGTCGAGTCGAGTAATGCCTTTGGAGTTACTACATAACGTTATTGATTGCGTTTGTTTTAGACGTTCGGTCCATTAACACTAGTCTTGCAGTTATCAATTCAAAATCGTTAGGGTAGGCGTAAGCCCTCATAATTTTGTTCCATAATTCCAAATAAGTGTTTGAGGATGCAGGCGGGTGGGAGACGGGGTGGTCAAACTCACAGGAAAGGTGACCGGATGGTTTGGCCTAAACTCCATGGGTGGCGGATGGATTAGATACAGCTGAAATTTCATCCGCGAGTACCTCAAGAGTAAACTCGCTAATAGAATAGAATCCACCTTTGCCCTTTATATGACGTATACCCACAGCGCTGTGCTTACTGTCAAGTTGTGTAACTTGCAAGAATGTCCCGAACTACTGGAGTTGGTTGCGCGGATAGCAGCACAGTGGTGTCGCTCGACTACCGGGCTGATAATATACCGTTAGTCGTGGGCTGTTTACTTAGGCTGGTGTAACCACATGCAAACGATGTCATTTTGGCAGCATCAAAAGGCCAGCTATGTAAATCGTTCTTCGGAAGACACGGCGTTTTTTTGGTGCAAATCACGCTATTAAGGCACATTGCTAACTGCAACATTAACTGATTATTGGCCGAGACAGCATTTTTCAGATCACTTCATGACGGGGCTTTCTGACTGCTGCCAGAAAGCCTGTCGAGTGATAACCACAATACAGCGGTCCCGGAAAACTGCTTAAAATCATGCGTGAGGGATGTGACAGTGTAAGATCAATAGCGTAGTTATCTCAGCCCCAGTACACCATACTTCTCAGGTTTAGATGTCTATTGTGTTTGGTCGACCACCACCAGCATCCCACTTAATGTTGGTGGGAAGTCCGTAGCAGCGATTTGGAAGTTGATTCTTATTTCTTTCTTTTCTTTCATGATTCTCATTTCATTAAACACTTATTCGTGCGTGGCGCGCGAGATCATGTGCACGTAATGCAATTGCCGGATCATTATCGGCCGGCAACGTAATTCTCTCAGCGGCAGACATAACCTTTTTAAAAAAAATTACCTCTGCACGGTGCATTGCTAACAGAGGTCGGTCTGACCGTGGTGTTATGGTCCGAAGACAGCGGCCAGAAAAGAAAAGAAAAAACGTAATCGCGCGAAAGGTGCGACTGTGCGCAGTCCATAGCAGAGCTATGTACAACACACTTATCCGACTAAGGATTCTCCTCAGCGGGCATTTGCACTTTACGTGAGTCCAATATAAAACACTCTTAGTCCTGCGCGCCGGGTGCGGCCACGTGCACACAATATCATTGTGGAAGCACTGTGGTGGACGCCATAGGGGAGAAATCATCGCCATATTTTAACGTCTCGTCGAATGCGCGGAATGATAATGTCATGATCGCATACCATTTCGTCTAAACGGAGAGTATCAAGCTTTCGCAGCAGTTACGTGTAACCACTTTGACGCATTCGTGTGTTGCAAACATTACAGAACATACACGTCGGAAAAGGCAATGCAGATGGTATGCATTATTTTCATAGTGGCGAGCACGGAGTCAAATGAGGTGTCTCCCACGGGGTCAGGTAGTTCAAATCGAAATTCGGAGTTATTCAGAAAGATTTCGAGAGAACCGGCATTACCGATGAAATCGCATGCGTCTGATGTAAAATTAAGTGAAAAGCACGAAGAGGTGGGACACTCCCTTCAACTGCGCCAGATCTGCCCCGGTGCGTGGTGGACAAAATACGGCGGCCAGTGAGAAATACTTATAATCGCTCCCCACATTTGCAGCTGTGTACATTTGATAGCGCTCATATGGGGCTATCTTCTGCCAGTGCAACATACTTGTGGGATTGTGGTTTCAACTTGATTCGGTGAACTCTCCGACTCTCCGACAATAGCTTCATGACCAGAATACGCAGGCCCGGGAAGAATTGTTGTAATCACGCGGAAAGAGTGCAACTGTGTGCATTCCAAAGTATTTGTATAAGAAATAAATCGCATTTACCGGTACGACACATGTCTCTGATTAGGGAATCTGATGTATTAGGTTGAACCCCGAAAATACGTCACATAACGCTGCCTTGCCGGTCGCTGCGGCGATTTGCAAACATACCATCTCAAATTTCAACTACTTCTATTCGTGTGCACTAGGTGCAAGCACACACACTCGCTGTCTATGTGAGTGCGCTGTAGGACAACAGCAGAAGTCCTCATCGACTGTTATGGCCTTTTTTGCTAAAATCATCCTCTGACGGCACGGTCCTATTTGCGGCTGGCCTGCCCGTGGCGTGCTGGCGAGATGACCCGGGAGAATACTCAGATTCGTCTCCGGATAGTGCGACTGCGTGCATCGACGGCTTTGACATGGGGCTCTCCAAACGGTGTGACGGTGTGCGTTCGATAACACTCGTGTGGGGCTATCAGCCCCCAGTATAGCACACTAGTTGGACTTTGATTTCGATTTCATTGGGTCGCCCCCCCCCCCCCCTCCCAGTAGGCATATCCCGGTTGTAGCGGCAATTTGCTCGGGTACAGCATCCCATTGGACATACATGATTAGTGCGCGGCGAGTGCGTCCAAGCGCACCCGATACCACTGTGTGAGCATCATCGTACGGCAATGTGATCTACCCAAAGGCCGACAGCACCATTTTTGTCGA